AGATTTCACTTGTCATGTTTGCATAGTAAGCTAACGATTGATAAGACGATGTCAGAGGAATTGGTGCGCAAATTATCGTCACTCACCAATCAGTGCTGTCGCTCTCTATACACAGTTTGCGCGATTGCAAATTCAAATATGTCACATATTGACAGTGGCTCACCGATGCCAATGACATAATTACTCAGCTACATTTCAGAAAGAATGCAAAAGCACTGACATATATTTGTCCTTCCTATGATAGCCCGACGGGCAGGGCAGAGACAGATTTTGGTAGCCCGACTGGAAAAATCGCTAGCCCCAGGACGTCGGGTTAGCGATTTTGCGAGCCCTGCTGTTCCATTAGTTCCTGCTCTCTATATTGTAATGGCAAACCAGCCAATCCCAGTAGGTACTAATGGAAAAGGGGATTTAGTGGGACGTTGACCCATTATTGATCATGTGACTCATCACAGCAGCCAAGGTGTGAAAAAGTGCGTGGCTCCTTATAGGGCTTTGGAGTTGACGTCACGCCGCAATGTATTGTGGGAGGGCGGCGCCATTTTCCGGGTCCATAAATCAAAACAAACACACTGTGTTGGAACGACGACAACAAGAAACATGCTTAAAAGCAGCTCAAAAGAAAACGGATGGTATAGAGACCTATCGCGTCCAGAGGTGAAGCAGTGGTACTTGAAAGGAACAGAGTGCATCACAAATGTGGACCCGTATGAAATACGGCCGTGGAGTAAAGACCCAGACTACTTACCGCCACTGTCCTACCCCGATATCTTCACATATCTTGTTTGTGGAGTAAGCGCTTACACTGCGAACCAGTTTTGTGATTACAAGTCACTGGAGGCGCACATCCAATTTACAAACAGCTGGGTGCAAGATTTGGCTATTTTCAAGCCGCCAAACTGTGAGTACGTCGTCATTCAAACCAAGTCAGCTGGAGCACATCGAGTGTAGCAGCCATGGTTCACCCCCTACCACAGTTGATGTTATACATTTATCAATGAACTGCTAAAATCTCGTCATATTATGTGCCCATAATTGTAAAGTTGATGCAAACTCCCACATTGATAATCGGGCAAGATATTACATCCACTTCATAGGCAGGCTTCCCTACAGTTGTGCGAAAGAATTAGCGAATCGTTACATAACACGTATGTCTGCAAAGTCACTCCAATCGATGTTTGTTCACAATTTCTATAACCTCCGAGACCACCAACGATAATATTATTAAGCTATAAAGAGTGATATGAACATATATAGAACTTACCGGAATGAAAATGTCCGGTAAGTTAAGTGATATCTGGAGATGGAAGCGAACTGGATATCAGCTCGTCTCACGGCTGCTATCCAGGCTAGACGCCTTCGTTTGGTAAGGTCCGCCATATGAGCTGCCTCATGTTGCTTCCAGGTTGAAAGAATAAAAAGACAAACCCTTTTTAAGCTCATTCCTGTGCCGGTTGTGCGATCAAACATTGCAGCCGACCACACAGCAAGTACGAACCATGGCTGTTGTGTGTGCTTGCGCTTTGTTTGGACCCGGAAAATGGCGGATCAGGCCAAAATCCTTTCCACGCCCACCCCGTGACATCACGCTCCAAAGCCCTATCAGCAGAGGTTTTGGGTGAAACCATTGTGAGACCTTGCCCCACCCTATCATGTGACTTATTAAGATCACCTGGTGCAAGACGTGAGTGGGTGTTAAAGTGCCTGGGAAGGATCTCTAAGGCTACGTCCACACTAATGCGTTTTTGTTTGAAAACGCATCATTTTCTCTCCGTTTTGGCCTCCCGTCCACGCCGACGGCGTTTTCTCCAAAGAAAAACGCAGCATTTTGAAAACGCTCTAGAAAACAAATACATTCAAAAGGGAGCTGTCCCGTCGCAGTGTGGACACTCGAACACGCAGACTTTCTAAAACGATGACGCATTTTAGTCATGTGATGCAGTCACGTGACCGATTAAACAAAGATGGCGGAGGGCATTATACAGCAGTTGTTTTGATTGCTCTCAATTTTGGCCCTAAAAAAGATTAATATCAGTTTGTACATGCTCCAGAGAGCTTTTCTTCAAATTCTTTCATTCTCACTTGCTTTTGCGCAGGACTGGAACGTCAGCGTTTTCAGCCGTTTCAATGTGGACGCACAACTCTGTGAAAACGACTGAAAACGCTAGTGTGGACGCCGAGCGTTTTCAGACGAAAACCGCGTTTTCAAATCTATCTG